CGCGCCGGCGGAGCACCCCCGCCCGGCCAATGGGAGGGCGGCGCGCGGGCCAGTGGGAGCGCGCGGGGAGGCGCCCCGCCCCTCGGCCCGCCCCGCCGAACTTCGGATTGGCGCGTTCGAATGGTCACGTGGCGGCGCCGGCCCCGCCTCCTCCTTCTCCATGGCAACGCGCCGGCGGCCCGGCTTCCGCTAGGCACCGGATGAAGCCCCCCCCCCTCGGCTTCGAGCCACTCGTGGGTGGCCGTGGCATCCTCACGTGGTGATCTGGGAGGTGGGAATCGACACCTCGTGGTGTCCTCACACCCACTGAGAGGTGGCCAAACAGAAAAAAAAAGATCTTTTTCTGCAATTATTATTTTTTGGCAGCGTCCCACCTGGAATCATGAGGGGAGTCACCAGCGCTGGAGGCTGGGGGGCACGGCTGTCAGCAGCGGGAGCTTGGTGGTGCCAGCAGTGATCATGGGACTACCTGCAGACACTGTGGTGCGGGGGGTGGCACCGCCTTTTCGCAGGGGGTGCTTGTGCACCTGCCTGCATCACCTACAAATCACCAATGACATGAATAATAACTGGGGAGCCGTATCTATGTATATTTTTGTCATATTAGAATGAAAATGTCCAATTTTTTTTTCTTATTTGGAGGCCCCTCATATGGGGAGGCCCCAAGCTGTAGCTGAAGTGGCTTAAGCCTAAATCCGGCACTGCCGGTGAGGCCTGCGCAGCTCTGAAGCCGCCACCACGCTCCTGAAAACTGCCTCTTGGGATCGTGACTACAAAACCAGGCTGGTTTGGACCCTCTGGACAGAACAAAATTGGGGGCTGCTGGGAGCCCCTTTTCTGCACAAGGGAAATGACCCATTTGATGGCGGCCTTGCAGACAGCAGGCCTGGGTCAATTGTGACCAGCGCACAAACCAGGCCCCCCTGGCTTGGGGGGCGTGGGGACTGCCATCAATACAATGTAGATTCATAGATGTTAGGGGCTGGAAGGGACCTTGTAGATCATCAGCATGATATTGAATGCTTTGGGGGTGCTTTGTCACGGGGTGGTTTTAGATGGGAGGGAACATGACTAAGCTAACAGCTCCTCCTGTGTTTTGTAGGTGTCTGACCGAAAGACTGAAAGAGAGGGCTTCATCTTCCTCCCAAGCTCCCCTCACCGCCCTTTTCCAGCACAGCTGAGATGACTGTCGTTTTGCCTGTTGCCCAGGCCTGTAACTGGAGTGTCATCTCTCGATCTGCATGTCTGTGGTGCACCGAAATCTTCCGGATGAGTCCCGTAAGACATCTCTAGGCCTATCCTGTCCTTCCCTACAATTAATGCTCCCGCCCATGCCCTCATGACTTCCCTTTGATTGCCAAAACTTGAATGCAATCTCATCCCACTGATGTTCATCCAGAATGTTTTTGTAAGGATTATTTTCCTTTGGCCCTGACATCCCTCTCTGCTCCCCTCCAATGGCTTCTTTATCACATGAAAGATAAGCAGTAGCGTCTTCACTTTCCATACCCTCTACAGTCTCTCTCTTCCTTATGTCATCTTTTGTGCACTATCCAGATGTTGATTCCTGCCTCCAATTAGCCAATTATGCCACTACTATCCACTCATTACATTTTCAAACAGCTTCCTGCTTGCTCCTGTGCTGCCCCTCACCCGTGGAAACAGCTCCCTGTAAGTATTTGCAAAGTTACTGCATTATTTTCCTTCAAATCTTAAAACTTTTGCTGTGGCGTCCTTGGCAGTGGCTAGGCTGCTGATGTTCTGATACTACTTTCTACCAGACTGGCCAGCATTGTCCCATTGTTTCCCTAAACTCCTCCGTTTATCTTTTGTTTTCAATGGGAAGACTTTTAAGCTGCTGGGGGCATTGACCATCCCTTTGTTTCTGATAACATAGTGCATAGAGCACTGGAGTCTTAGTTGGTGACAAAATGCACCTCAGCTTTACAATGCAAATGATGCATAATTTATTGAAAAATTATCTTTGTTTAAATGCATCCCATTTTATTCTAATAGGGCTGAGGCGTGTATTTTCAGTGACATCTAATAATGTGGAAAGTTTGGAAGGACAGCAATATACCAGAATGACCATTAGATCCAAATCATTTAATGACCTATAATTCAAGCACTTGGGCTTGAAAAAAAAAATAATTGGGCCTGAAAATTACTGTTTGTTGAGAATGCCAATGAGAATTTTTCTGCAAGGTTTGATAAAGCTTTGTCAGAGTTAGAAACAGTGTAAAAGAGGACTTAAGGTGGAATTTGCTTTGCTCATCAGCTAGGGAGAGAGCATAAGTTTGCTGGGTATTGTAAAACAAGTAAATAAAAAATGGATATTGATAGAGGTCACACAGGAAGACTGTAGTAGGTAGGAACTGGAGCCCAGAACTAGCCTTGCAGCACTGTTAAGTGCAGGAACGTTTTAGCGCTGTCTCTCTTATAAAATAATATTTATTTTAGACACACACACAAATTTCCTTTGCAACTATTTTTAAAGAAAACTTTCACACTTTAAGAATATTTAAGAAAGAAAAAAATATATACATAGTACAGCTTGTAGTATGGTTACCTTTGCTTGTCTCATTCCAATAGATGCCATTTGTGATACTTTTTTAAGTTTGGTTTTCTTATTTGAATAATTTTATAGCATGTCTAATTCTAATATTTATTAAAATACATGTAGATGCAAAACACCACTTTATGCTTACGATTATTTATTAATGCCACATTTTAAAATATTACACAGAAAATTTATTCCAGTACACATTAGTAAATAAATTATGCTTGTAATTTCTAATGCATTTTTAATTATAAATTTATCCATGTCTCCTTTTATTTATGATAACCGTTCTCGCCATTGCAACACAGTATATATTACAGGAGACACAATTAATTACACATTCTTGGACATTGAGCTTGACAACACATACTTTGAATCCGATTTTTTTTTTTGGAAAGATTCAGAGTGTCCTTGTTGGTACTCTTATTCTAAAATCATCCATAAACAGAAACAGTGTCCACATTTTGGAGATTACCGTGTACCCAAAATCAGTGGATACATGGTGTTCTGTGGCTGGTTGTTAGACTGCAAATGTGTAAGAATCAACCCTCCTGGAAAAACAAATGATTTATTTTCCAGCTCTGTTTCTTTTAGACTAAGGTTGGTGTACAGCATTTCAGAAGCTGTGGTGGCAGCTCAGGTCTTTGGGACCCTTGGAGCTGCACTAGAAAGATCCTGGTGACCATACTGCATGTGGGGATAAAAGGTGGCAGAAATGCAGGTAGAACACGACAGCCCGTCTTGCCAGGATGGGTCTCTGCCAGCCCGCAGCGCCAGGCTCGCCTCCCAGTACTTCGGCTTAGCTGTGACAGGACAGGACAGGGCATCCAGTATTCAGCGTGGACCTTCGCTCTTGCTGACGAGGCTGACATCGGTTCCTAAGGAAGCGGGAATTGGGAGCCAACGTCAGCCTTGTGCTTCATTCACCATCGCATCTGGAGGTGCTCTTCACTTCACGGCGTCTCGTCATGATGTGGTGCTGTATTAGTGAGCACGGTAATTTAGAGTCAGGTAACACCCAATTATAACATCGTTTGGGTGATGACTGACGGAACTGGATTCATGTTGTGTCGTGTTTTTCAAGACGGTAACTCCCACGTTAAGCGAGAAGTGGCTCTACATCCCCCGCCTAGAGACCCCCGGCCCCGAGCTGCGGCCTGGATGCTTTTTCCCAAGCCATGGAGGCGGCCCCACAGCGAAGGAAACGAGCTGCCAGCCCAGTCCAGGCCGCTACCCCGACGGGCACATCATTGCGTCTGCGCGGAGCCGAGCTGGCAGCCCAGCCCTCTGCCTGGCATCGGCGCCTGCGCGCTGAGCGGGCGTGGCGTCACTTCCGGGAGGGGGTGCGCTTCCGGGTCAGCCGTCACTGTTCCCGCAGTCCGGTGTTGGCGGCGTCTCCCGCAGGCCCGGAAGTGGCCGGCGTGGCCTGGCAGGAGGAGGCAGGTGGCGCCCGTAAGTGCCCCTGGGGAGCCGGGGGGGGGGATCTTTTCCTGTCTCGCGTCTGTGCCGCTGCGGGCCTCGTGCCCAGAGCTCCTCGGCGGGGCCGCGGTGGAGCCCGCGCACGGAGCTGGCAGCAGGGGCTGGGCCGGGACAGGGCTGGGCCCAACGCACAGCCTGGGCAGGGGGGATGTCGTTCGGGGGTGGCGCAGGGTACTTCGTTCCCCGGCCAGCGTGTGCAGGCCTGCCTGCGCCGGTGCCACGACCTCCCGTCGTTGGGTGTGCAGCACCACGTTATGCCGCCCCAGTGGCGTGAGCCTTTCATCCGCACACCCCGAGCAGGACGGAGTTTGGCTTTCCCTGCCCGCGTCTGCTGGGCAGATTTTGGAAAATAAGAAACACAGAAAGCAGCGTGTTTGTTTCTCTAATAGCTCCGCCTTGTGCAGCGGGCCCGCTGCTGTTTGCTTCGCGCTTGGTGCAGCCGCCCCATTGCTCCACTCCTTTTGCTGCAGCATTGTGGGAAGCACGTCTGGAAAGCGTTGCTGCGGTGCAGTGTTTAAGATAAATGTTTCCCTCCCTCCCCCCCTTTTTTTTTTTTTTTAAACTAAAACATGCGCTGAGTTCAGAACCATAGGGCCCCAACTGCTGAGCAGCTTTGAAAAG